AGGTACTAAGTGAAGTCTAATGTGAGTTCTAATTAGAGAATTTTGGGCCTTGTTCTGCAGGAACAGCAATAAGATGAGAGAGAGAGAGAGAGAGAGAGAGAGAGAGAGAGAGAAACAGAGAGACACAGAGAGAGACACAGAGAGAGAGTAACTGAGACCTGGGGAAGGGCCTTACTCAGCCACCTCAGCTTTCCTAAGATGGGTTAGTAACAGGATATCAGACCCAGACTTAGAGGGATGCTAGGGCCAAGAGCAGGGACACAGCAGACTGGAACCAGAGAAGGGTTGGGGAAGAAAGGCCTTTGTTGGTTCCCACAGCATGGTCAAGATAGTAGCCTGGCCCACTGAATCCTGCTGTCTGCTGATGAGAAGCCTACTGTGGTAGCATAGCCCTCCTGGCAACCTTGTACACAAGGAACAGCCCCTACCCTTACTGACAACCTGGTACCTGGTATGGCCACCCTTCCCCCTCTAAAACAGAGACAGCCAGGAGGAAGACAAGGAAAAGGTGACAGCACTGGCCATAGCCAAGGCTGTATCTCAGAGAGCCTACCCCACCCACACCTCCTGGCTGGTACTACCACCTTGCCCCACTCCCAGCTCAGTCATTCGTAGAGGCAGGCCTTCCATCCATGATTGGTGGAGCCCTGAGAAATGTCCCTGGCCTCTTGGATTTATGTTACTTTCTGTGTACGACAGCCGTATCAGAGCAGCAAACCCTCTAGACACTCACACACTCAAACTGTGCACCCAGAGTGACAGACATGCCTTTTACACAGACCCTCACATGCACAGCTCACCACATATTCTGGTACCTGCATATATGCCCAAGCACAGAGTCACATTCAGATGGAGTCTTAACTACTCTGTGCCCACATCCCCTGTGGGTCCTACAGCCTTGCCTTGGGTCTAACCCTGTTCATCTCTAAGTCATCCCCAGTGTCTCCATCACTCCTTAAAGACCATTCTGGTCATGATTACAAACAGCTTCCACATTACCAAGTCCTGTGGTCACTTGACTTCTTCCTTACAGGCCCCCTGCCCTGGGCCTTTGAGTGATGGTCCTCTCCTCCATTGGCTGACTTTTCTGCCCATGGTTGCTTCTTTCTCTTCTCCTTGGTCAAAATGGCCCCAGGTCTTCTTTCTCCTGCCTCTTCTTTCCTCTACCCTGTCTTGGTACCCTGTCTTGGTGCCCTGTCTTGGTGCCCTGTCTTGGTGGCCTCATCCAGACTTTCAGTCCCACTTGTATGCATTCTCCATTCCATCTGCTGCCCTGATTTCTCTCTGCTCCAAGCTCAGTAGCCATGGGCCATGGTCAGCCAGAACCGCTGATTCCCCAGCTTTTTCCATATCTGCTCTCCTGCTCACTTGTGTCATTAGTGTGGTCTCTCTTCCTGTCACTCCTCCCTACTTCCCTGGTCCATGTCATCTCACCTCTGCTTTCCAGTTGGGTTGTGGATCTGACCATGGTGACCATTTCCATTGCTGCCCCTGTAGTCCGAAATGGTGCCCCTTCACCTGGAGATGGTCACGTTCTGACAGGTCTTTCTGCTTCCACTCTTCCTAACCCTGACCCTAGGCTCTACAGATACCAGTCACAATGTAGATCATGTAAGTTCCTTGGTTAGAAACATAAAATGGCTTCCCATTGCAGTTCAAATAAAAACCAAGATCTTCCTAGGTCTCCAGGGCTCATGATTACCCACTTTCTATTTAGCACATTGTAGGTGTCAAGCTTTTTTTTTTTTGAGACAAGGTTTCCCTGAGCCTCTGCTGGCCTGGAACTCACTATGTAGACCAAGCTGGCTCTGATCACACAGAGATCGGCCTACTTCGGCTTCCTGAGTGCTAGGTTTAAAGGCATGTGCCACCACTTTGACCTTCTATTTGGATCTTATCTGTAGTCCGATGTGCTCAGAGTCACCAATAGCATTGTTGTCCACTGAACAAGACAAGCCTATGTGCTGTTCCTGCCTTCAGCACTCCTCCCCATTTGTTTGGAGGCCTGGCTACTCAGTGTCACCACATAGGTCAAGACTCTGCTGATGGTTAGAGTAGCTCGCCACTGCAGCCCCAGTCACTACCCCATGAACTAATTCTCTTATATCATTTGTCAACAGTGTTTCCTGTTTTTTGCTGTCTTGTCTGTGACTACAGTCCCAGGAGGGCGGGGATACTGTGTGTGGTAGGTTCTGGTGCTGAGTGAATGTTCCTTGGGTAGGTGAGTGAGCACACCCCCTCTTCAGACAGATATAAACTGCATATATCCACACTCCTCCATGCTGACAGTTCCAACCTGAAATGCTCAGCACAAACACAAACATATCCCACTGCATGCTCATGTCCTTAAACCCTGTCTGAGATATCTTTGAGCTAGGTATATTCATTCCTCTAATTCCAACAGAATCCATCCACACAAACCTGCAGATTCACTCCTGTGCACCCTGCCATGATCCTGCATTCCACCCAGCCTCCACCTGCTTTCCTATCCCAGACCTGGTCTGCAGACCCAGACAGACACTTACATGCCAACTTTGAACTCTGCCTCTGACTGAGCGCACTGAATGGAGGCTAGGTGTTGGAGTAGCTAGGCTCTGAACCACATCTGATGCCCTCTGACCACCATCAAACCTTCCCCCAGCCCTGAGCCCTGCACGTCTCTTGCTATGACACTTGAGGCCAGGGCAGAGCCTCCCAGCACAAAGCCAGAGAGCTCAAAATGGTGACCCTCAAAGTTCTAGCCACAGAGTCTTCCAGAGGTCAAAGGGCAGTATCTGTGGTTGTGTGGAGGAAGTAGGGAGTTGAATGTAAGTTTCTGAGCTGGGGAGCAAGGGGCAGGTACAGCCCAAACCCTTCCCGGTCTTGCCCACAGATGTACACACATGCCAGAATAGGGACAGATCATGGAGTGACAGCCTCAGGCAGATGGCAGAGACTGGCAGCAGACACAGGGCAGGGATAGAGATAAACAGGAAGTTATCAGCTGCCAGCCTGTTGCCAAATGAGAAGCAATGGAAATGGGCTTGGGAAGGAAAGAGGATCAAAGTGAGATGGAAAGGGTTGCCACTCTGCACAGATCCCCAAACTGGGCTCCTGTGGTTTCCAAATACAGGCCCTTCAAGGAGCCATGCCTCTTGTCTGGCTGCCCACTGGGCTGCACAGCTTAAGAGGGCCCATCTCTGTAGAAGTTTTCCCCAGCAGGGAGTGCTAACTGTACACTAGAGCACAGTCTGAATTCCAGGGGATCCAGCTGCTCATGAAATTTTCTTGTCTGCCCCCAAATCAACATAGCTTGTGCTAGGGCATCTTGATGAGGCTAGGGGAGATTTTTGCAATCATCCCTTTTCCATTTATGGGGAAAGAAAACCAAACACTCAGCACTCCTGGTGTCAGAGGCTGTGGAGAGGGGTCATGCAGATGGTGCAGTGAGACTTAGGTTCCATACCCTTTAATTCAAATCCAAGGTGTTCTGGTAGTGCAGAAGAGAAGAGAGTAAGGGGGGCAGGGGAGAGAGGGGGAGGTTAGGAGAGAGAAAGAGAAAAACGTTGGTCAGGACTCTTTAGACACCGGGCAACCAGCCTGTGAGGTGAAAGCAGGTTAGTAGTGTCCCCTTCTGGCCTCCTGAGCTCCTTCCCTAGTCCCTAGTCCCCAAGAGCCCCAAGAGGGCAAGAGAGAGGTCATGATAGAGTTGGCAGGCAGGGCAGGATCTTTAGAAGTGAGTTAGTACCTGGTGGGTAGGCACAGGTGCAAGAGGCAGTTAACAATGTCTTTCAGGAACAGAGGGTGATTGGGGCAGGGTCTAAGGAGTGTCCAGTCCCCTCCTCCTGGCTCCAGTTTTAACCTTCAATCCCCTCAGGTCTTCCTGGCCCACTACTGGCTCACTGGGAAGGTAGGGCTTTCTTTGTTCAAAATGAGCATGTCAGGACTCCAGACTGATCTCAGGTTCCTGCCTTGTGCCATAGGCCTAGCTGGCCTGCCCATCTTCTAGGAGCCTGTATGGAGCTTCAGTGTCTTAGGGGAGCAGGAGGGGGAGAGGAGGAGGCTCTAGGCAGCAAGTCATTGCTCCACCTGATATCCTACAAACCTTGGGTCCAGGGGCTGTGCTGTGCTGCCCAAGCCCATCTCACTACTCTGAAGAGCACCTGCAACTTGGAGCGCAGGAAGAGTAGGTTCATCTGGAGAATTTGCACACTTCTTACACGGTAGACAAATTACAGTGTTGGAAATGAGATCTTGGCCTCAATCTGTGAGTTCAGGCCTCTGCAAGGTAGATGCTCATACCATTGAGAGGTCAGATAAAAGAGCCTTGGTCCAAGGGTCAGTTCTGTCACTTTCACCATGAGAGATGCCCAACCTGTAATGTGATCTCTTAGCTGTAATGTGGGGATCAGACCTTGCCAAAGGATCCTGGGAGGTTTGTAAACCAGAATCATCCAGGCTAGTGGGAGCAGGCCTGGGTGGGGTGCCCAAAAACTCAAAAAGTATTTTAAAGAGCTTACCTCCCCTTTTAAGGTATAGCCTGCACTGCTCTACAGACTTGTGTCTCAGTTTCATCCCTAACTTGCAGTGTGGATGTGGGTAAGTCATGGCCTCTGTTCTCTCTCATCTGTCCAAAGTATCTGTATACAGAGGGAGATGTGAGCAGGCCTGGCCAGCAGGAGGCTCAGCATATGTGTATGAAAGAGCCCCTGCTCATGCTGGCCTGGGCACCCCTCATCAACTCAGTATCAGCCAAGTCTAGACCTGGGGAGGGTGTGATACTGTTTGATTTCTCATCTGCTGTGGAGGAAGGGAAGCATGGGCGGCCAGCAGGAAATCCTAAGCATTATCTTCCCCATCTCTACCTGAAGGGATTTCAGAGGGGAGTGGGTGGCTCCAGTCCAGAGACCAAGGTACTGAGCCCAGGAAACTTGAGGAATATCCTGGGGCTTTGACCTCATCAGTTCTGTGCAGAGGGCATACCAAGGAAACCCTGATTCCAGCAGTTTGAATATGAGCCCTCTGTGTATTTCTGCCACCCTGAAGCTGGGGGTGGGGTGATCTTGACGTTTTGGCACTTCATAGTTTTGCTCTGACAGAGGTAGAATATTGCCCTAAGTGCAGTCTGTGCAAGGCCCTCCAGCACTGGCCTGTTGTGCTGAGTAGATAAACTGAAACAAAAGGTCTCAAGGCAGCTCCCTAAATAGTGAATATTGGAGCCCTGGGACTTGGGAGCACTCAGGAACATGTGAAAGAGAACATACCAGCTTGATCACAACACTCTGGGCCTAAGAGCTGGCCTGCAGTTCCCTTTTAGACAAGGTGGTTGAATACTATGGGCAGCTGCTATTTCAAGGTCACACAGTAAATCAAGAGACAGAGTGGAGACTAGAGGGGGGGTCTTAGTGCTAATGGCTATTTCTGCCAGTGAGCCTCTGTGCAGGCTTGTCTGGCTATTTCTGAGGACAGTGGCCACCTGGAGAAGCAAGTAAGGTTCTCAAAGCCCTTTGAGGGTTTTCTTCCATGTCATTTCTCTGAGAACCAAATTTTGGCAGCAGTAGCCCGCGGGGTCCTGGTGATGTGCTCTTAAAAGTCAAAGGTTGGCACTATTTAGTGTGGCCAGTGGTGGCTGGAATGATTGGTGAGGTTACTGAGGGTCTGGCTAGTCACAAGGCAGCTATCTTCTTCCTGGGAACATTGGGAACAGATACTCAGGGATCTACGGCTGGCCTAGGCTGGCCTAGTTAAGGGAGTAATATCCTACTGTGTTCTTTGCTTGCCACTCAGCCAGGATGGGTGAACCACAGGAAGGTCCTACTGGCCAGAAATTTGCATATTGACCAATAACCATGGTAACTGGATGCTTGACTTCCAGCAGGGCCAGGCTTCCTAGGCAATATGAAAAGTCATTGTCCTGGATATGACAGTCGTAAGATGCTTGAATGAGCAGATAGTGATATGTGTGCAGATGGGAGTACATGCTCCTTTGTTTGCATATGTGTGTGAGTATGTATACAAGCACATACTTGTGTTTGTGCCTATGTGTGTGGGTGTGTGGGATACAGATGGACCAGCTTTCCCTCTCAGGAGGGAAGGGGCTGTAGTAAAAAGAAGCTTCAAAGTACTATTGGGGGTCATAGAATGCTCTCTGACCTCTACAAACGGTTGCCTGGTCTTGAGGTGGTCTGGGCAGGTTGCAGGGTCAGACCATTTGTTCAGGAATGCTGGAAGGCAGCCTGCAGGACTGGTGCTCACTCATTCTGCCCTTCTCCATGCCAGCTGTAGCTGGGAGAGGTACTGAATTGCACCCTAGTGACAATGGCAGGCTCTCAGATGAGTCTTCCACATGCATCACTTCGTTTCATCTTACAGCTACCTTCCAGGCATTAGTGCCTTTATCCCCATTTTATGGATGAGAAGACAAATTCAGAGTGCTTAAATGAGACCCAGAGCTAGGAAGATGGGTACCTGAGCACTTCAGGGAGAACAGAGCCCATCTTTGTATTCACTATGTACTAAAGTAGTGCATAAGGACTTTCTGGGAATGGGCTTGAATGGCAGGAAGCCTCCACAGAAAGGTACCTGTATGGTGCTGAAGACAGGAAGGCTGGGGACTGCATTTGCAGGCTTTCTTTTGGGCTCCCAGGGCTTTGCTGACCCTCCTAGCAGATCTAGGCTGAAAGCTGATGTGGCCCAGCTGGCCAAGGGGCTTTGGACAGCAGCCCACGTTCCTGAGGCTCTGCTGCTCTGATCCAGGCTTGGCTGGGACTGCCTGTCCAGAACAATTTCCCAAGCCAGGGGGGCTCTTGGCCAATGGTAGAAAGGGACATGACCCCTATTGCTTCTCTCACCTGGCCCATGCTACTCTGTCATCTGAAGGCTTTTCCTGCCCCAGAATTCTCCACATAGACTGGAACTGATTTTGAAATTCCTGCCAAACCCTGGGTTCTAGAGAACTCTGTTGGGCTACCTGTTCTGCTCACATGCTCTGCCATTATCTTGCCCTCCTCCATGGCCTGTGATTGGAATGGGCTTGAGAGAGCACTGCCTCCCATACTGGGAACAGAGTTGAATATCAGGATCCATCAGCCCTCACCTGCTGGGGCCCAAACACTCCTGCTGAGTTAGGGTTGCAAGTACATTTCTAGGCTTTTGTGTTGTAGTTTGAAGAGGTCTGTAAAGGCTAATTTCTCTACCCTGCGACCCAAACTCCAAAACTTCTTTTTCCATGTGCTACCTAAATGGCCTCCTGGGTTTCATCTTTGGTTTCTTACAGAGTTCTCATTCCCAACATCCAGGTACCATCTGGATGCTCTGGTTCCTAACTCCCCATGGAACCAAGCTGTCTTCCCTGATTAGGGGGAGAGGCTATCCTGCTCTACAGGATGTGATGGTTGACATAGTTTTGGCCTTGCAGGTCAACTGACCACTAGGCCCCATATCAAGTCATGGCTGGCCAGGGCCTTTTTTCTCTGCTGCATCTTCATTTGGTAGTATTTGAAGGAATTGTTCTGAGACCCTAATTAAAATAGTCCACTATTCCAGCCAAATCCTTAGGGTGCACAGGGCTAACACCCTCCCCTCTGGGAAGAAAGGAAGGGGATGGAATCCTGGATGGGTTTCAGACCTGGGAGGTCCTAGGGAGACCCACCAGTGGTCCTGTGATTCCTCATAACCTTATCCACAGCATCTGCAGCAGCCCTCAGTCCACCTCATCCTGTAGTCACACAGATGTCTCCAGCATCCATGGAAACCATTGCACTGGGGCCTACTCTGTTTCAATCTTCCATCTTTCTTGCCCTGGTTCTAGAACCCCAAACCAAACCCATTCTAGCCAGACCTGAAGACAGTCTTTTAAGACCTTTTTCCCTTTTCAAACACACCAGCACATACATGCATGCATTCATCTTTTGACCCATCAACAATCTGACAGCCTCAAACAGCCTTTAGAGGCAGGAGACTTCAAATGTGTCTTCCCACTTCGGTCAGGCTGCCTGATCCCAGAAGTGGAGAAGAGGCCTGGGCATGGCCTTTTTTTTTTTTTTGCTTCAGAGAACTCAGCATTACTGTGCCCAGGTAGTATAGGTGATGTAATGGGGGGACAGGGATGTATAGTTTTCCTCTGCAGAGGCTGCTGGCAAGCACTGTGGACTGAGAGGAGCTCAGGACACCCCTGGTCCCCTACCCCAGTTTTGATAAGTAAGGTCCCATCCCTCCCACATGTGGAGACTGCCAGTTACCAGGGAAGAGAAAAAGTAGAAGAAAGAGACATACTGGAGAAGTTGACCATTGCGAACTGCTGACACCTGTCCCCGGTGTATCCCACAGGACACCTACCAAAAGAAAGAAAACCAGAAAGAGAGAGCCAGGATAGCAAGACACAGGCATTGCAACACCCCGGCACGGGCTCCTGCCAATGCCAGCTAGGTTCCTTGCCACCGTTACCATTTGTACTGGCCTTGCCACTCTGCCCCTTACCTGTATCCCTGAACTTTAAACCCAAGGATTAGGCCAAAAAATGAAAAACAAAGCAAAACAAAACAAAACAAAAGAACTAACAAACCAAAATACAGAAAAGAAGAGAAACAAAACAAAACAGCCAAAGATCAAAACAACCAACACCCCTGGCTCTACGCCCTACATTGGGGGGACTGCACCCAGAAGCTTTCTAAGGAGCAGGGACTTGTGTTTGTATCTTCAAACATACTTTGCTTAGGATCTGGCATGTACAATCGCAAAGGCAGTTTCTCCAAACATCTCTGTCCGAAGAATCCATTTGGACATCTGGAGAAGGAAAAGGGGAAAAATCACAGAACAAACTGGCATCATCCGCGAGGCTAAGGTTAGAAATCAAAGTGCACAGTGATGAATGAGAAAACCAAGTCAGGCACTTGGGGTCACACTTGTAGCTGAAGGGGCTGGAGTTGGGGCTGGGTGGAGGGCTCTGGAATCTCCTTACAAAAGCTCTAATTGATGTGGCTCTGTGGGGGTGGGGTGGGGCAGGTGGGCAGGGGCAAGGGAGGAAGATGAGTTAGGGAAGTGGGGTGGGGAAGATGCAGGGTGGGTTATTGACTAATGGTCCTAATGGTTGGGGAGCTTTCCTTTTTACCTGCCTGGAGCCCCAGGAAGCCAGCCTGTAGCTCCTGGGTGCCAGGCAGTAAGCCTTATGGGATACAAGTTCTTGGAGTTATTCCTTCAGGCCCTGCTGAAGGATTCTGTCTGGGATCCTGGGCAAATTTTATCCTCCATGAAACAGCTCCCAGAAAACTCAAAGTAGAATTCTGCTAGGCTGTTCTATATTGTGTGTGCCCATGACCAAAGGGACCTAGGAAGTATTTGATCTGTTCTCTCAAAGAGGGTTCTGTGGCCAAATATGTTTGGGAAATCTGTTCCCAGGGCTCTTGTAGAGTGTTAGTCTCCTTTAGACAAATTAAGAAAAGTTTTGCGGGAGAAAACAGGTCAACTATCCAAAATTATTTGACCAAGGAAGGTTTTGTTTATTTCTGTTTTGCTGTTTTGAGACGGTCTCACTATATAGATCTGGCTAGCCTAGAATGGAAGGCGTTTTTCAGAGGAACTGTAGCAGAGCAGTTTGGAGGAGGTTGCCCTAAAGCAACAGATGTTGGGAAAGCTTAGTAGTGGAAGGGGAAACTGGGTAAGAGATGGAATTACTTCAAAGCTGACACCGGGTGAGGGGGAGGTTGGAGCAGGCTAACTCAGGGCCCTGGAAGCCTGCTATGTGTCAGGAGCCTGCTAGGAGCCAGCCTTGGCCTGCCTGCCCTTCCCCTGGGACCTGTTCTTCCATGTGGCCTGGCTCTGCCTTGCGTCTCCTTGCATCTTGCCCTCCCTGCTGCTCCAGGGTACCACCCACCCAGCCCCCTTCTCCCTGATCTTGTCCTACCCGCAAGGTACACTTCTACTTTCTGGCTGCCACCTCTCCCCTTAAGCAAGTCTTGGTTTTGTGAATTTCGGGGAGACATGCCCAATCCTGTACTATTATCTGAACCCTAGCAAGGCCAGTTACCTAGGGAGAACTTTACAGACTGGCTGGATGGCCTCTTCCTCATTTCTCTTTTCAGAGATGGGCTTTGGCCTCTTCTCCCTGAGGAAGCTAGGGGAGCCCCATCAGCAGTGACCCCTCAGTACCTGGTACTATGCAAACATGAGTCAAACTGTACTTAGGAGATAAGAATGCTCTGCCTCAGCCTTCTGTGCACAACAGGAAGGCTCTTGGGCTTACAGTGGGGCAGTGGCCATTGGCTGTGATAGATACTCTTGTAAACCCTGTGGACTCTAATCTAGAGGAGTGGGGAATGGGAGTGGCTTGTGAGCAGAAAACTGGAGTTTTTCTGGACCTGTGGCTTCTCCCTGGGGCAGGGAGAGAGGCTGGACTTTGCAGTGGTAGGGTATGGGTGCACATGTTCCTGGCCAGTGGGAGTTCGCCTGAGAAGTACATGGGGAATGTGTTGGGGGTAGGTAACAGTAATGAGTGCTTACCCTGTTGAATAGTGTGACTTGAAGGAGAAGCCCCTCTTCTATACCTCCTCCTTTGATCCCTGACCCTTGTCCCCAGTTGTTTCAGGCCAGGAAGATAGAGGAAGTGGCTCAGGCTCCCCAACCAATTCTAGACAGGCACTGCTCTTGTTCCTTAGCTCCTGGACCCTGATGTGGCACATGGGGACTAGAGATGAGTGAAATAATTTTTTTTTCAAACAGAAGCACCTTTGGGAGTAGAAGATAAAGACCTAGGAAGTTGCCAAATAATTTTGAACTCTACAAACAGGAAAGGCTTAACTGTGCCCACTGTCTGCCACTAGCCTGGCTCTTGGAGTCAGGCACCCAGTGTGTGTGTGTGTGTGTGTGTGTGTGTGTGTGTGTGTGTGTGTGTGTGTG